TTTGTGTGTAACTCTTGGTCAAAGTCGACCCACTTCTGTAATTAAATGAAGAATTAAAAGATATTAATATTAGTAGTTATTTCAATCGAAATGTTCAGGAAACTTTTTAATCTGCAAGAATGTTAAACAAAAATTTTTGGAAACATACCGGAGAAATAAGAAAATTAAGAAAAATGAGAACAGACCTTAAATATAGTGCAAGATAACACTTTGTTTCATACATTCTATAGAATTGATACTAGCAACGGTAATAAGTTGTACAAACGGAAGTAATGAGAATTCTTTGAATTTTGTTCGATTTTTATATTACAATACAGTCTACAGATTGTTTAAAATTCGTTCCAACGATTTGAGTTCTTTTAGAAATTTTCAATTGATAGAATGGTAGAACAAAAATAATATCAAATAATATCAAAATTGGATGATGTTTCCTGACGACTATGTTTCTAGAACATGCAGTACTCGTTATTTGTTTCTGTATCAACCGATTTCGATGTTTTTCAGCGTGGATATAACTAATCCAAATCTATAAATTGCATCTTTCAAATTTTCATTGAAGGCATAAATAAAGAAGATGGAAAACGTTGTAAGTTGTTTTGTGCATTAATTAGTAAACTAATTCTGATAACATCTCAAAAACACCGTTTGAAACAATTTTCGGAAAGGTATTCTGTTCAGGCGGATGTACGAAGACTTTCGTGACTGTTTGTATGTGTTGTTTACACAGTTTCAAGTGCTCAGTATAGGAATTGAAGCGGAAATGAAACGATAACACAATTCAGTTTTAACTGGTTCAAACTATAAAGATATGTCTTCAGGTAAACAGTGGATTGGAAACGAGAAACCGTTTTTAGCCTTATTTCAAGGTTTAGATGATAGTACAGTATAGTATAATATGTAGTATAAATGTATATACACTTGCTGACAAAAGTTAAGAAACAACGTAATCGTTTGATACATTTCGGTATATTCTCTATCTTCTAAGATACATAGGTTTGAACTAAAAATAGCATAATGAGGTAGCATCTTATACATCAATGATCAATGAGTTTTATCTTAAACATACTTGTACAAGAAATAAGACAAAAGATGCGCGACATAAATTAAGAAACATACATCGCTTAAGTTATATAATCACTTTCAATGAAAAACAGCGATGTGTCAATGTCTGTAGTTTTTATAACAGTCTAATAAGATGTTGGATAACCCTTGGATTTGAGGACTGCATCGCATCTGTGTTCTATATCGATGTTCTATAATGAGTAATTAGAACAATTAGTATTACTTTGAATTTCTAGACTTATACAGGCCTTTGTGTAATGGAAAAGAAAATTACAGAAGTGCGAGAAAACGAAATCTTCAATTTTTTCAGTCGATTGTGTCAGGAATACCCCTTAAATCAGGTCGACTTGGTAGGCATGAATACCCCTTGCCTGTTTTGAAGCTATTGCGCGCGATCGATGTGCGCTTGCGTTAATTTCAGCACAAACGACGGCCATTGAATATTCCCGGAATAATTCCGACTAGGAAAATTAATTAATTTGCTAATTTCGGATTATCGGAGCACCGGTTACGTATCACTGTCTCCCGTGGCGGGCATTCGGGCCCCTTTGTTCCTCCCTCTTCTCCTTCGGCCGCCCCGCCTCCTGGCCGAGCCCGCGAGATTCGTTAGTTTTCCGGGAAATTAGTCGGCGGTGATTTGCATCTGACGTGCACCTCCGGGCACCTACACGTCGCTCGCATAGTTCGAAACTCTGACTTTCCACTCGGATCTTCTCTCCTGGATGGATGTCTCAGCGCCCCTTCCGCGGGGCGCTCTCACGTCAATTACGGACGTCACGCTCGGAAATTTCAGCAAGCCTCTTCCCCGAAGGGTAGAACCGATGCGATTTTCCCGGGATTCCAGAATTTTTCGCGAAACGCGGCGATCGGACGTCACCTATGCGTTGGGAAACGTAAAACGAAGCGATTGATAGAATTAGAAATAGCCTGCCTCGGAATTCCATCGAAATCCTGCAAGTCCATGATTTATTTCAAATCGTTATTCCTTATTTTCGTTTCAAGTAAAATTTGACCTAAAAGCCGTTTCACACGAGGATACGTGCGTCGCAATACGCCTGTGCGATGCAGCGTTCAACACGAGAAAATGTATGTACCGCGGCACTCTATTGTCGTACAATAGAGTGTTTCGTCGATCTATCCGGCCAAAGTACAGTTTTGTAGAATTCATCGTAATAAAAAATGACCGCATATTCATTGCATTTCGCGTAGCGTTTCTTTGATCAGTTGAAACTTGATCGCGATGAGGAACGGACGCGTATTCAGTTAGTATTTTGTGCGGCAGCAAACTCTTCAAATGATTGTTTTTTTTCTGAAAATTTGTATAAATCATAAATTATGGATCATTGCGAAGGTGATAAATGTGTACATATTTGAAATATTTGTACTAAAACTGCATTTATATCAACAAAGCTAAAAAAAACATTGAAAATACATTTTTTTTTTCATTCACATAGACAATGTCGTTATTAATATAAGGAATTTAATATACTTCAGGGTGCGTCCTGGTCTTAATTCTTTTTATTAACATTAAGAGGAAGCTTTTAACTCTGATTTCCAACATTTGCGCAGAATCGCGTGCATCTGCTTATAATTGTTGATCGAATATTCTGATATAACTATTAATTTAATTGATTGTAGTATAATTTTGATCATAATTATCATGTCTCAATCCTGTCGTTGGGACAATCTGGAAATAGAACAATGATTCAAAAAGTCATATTTAATATAATGCAGCAGCAAAATGGTTGCAGTTTTAACGAAGAATTGGATCTTTTTGCACATCACATTCTAAGCCGTGAAAAATATACACAGAATCGGATATGAGAAATTAAACGTGAAATACGAAATACGAAATGAAACGGAGACAGACACGTAAGATGTCAGATATTTTTGTTGAAAGAAATTACGAGTGGCATAAAGGATCAACATAGTGAAACCATAAATGATGCAGATGATGAAGAAAACGTATCTACCGATGAAAATAAAATATTTTCGGATGAAGAAATATAGGTTGTAGGTACATTAATTCTTCATATCATGTTCACTTCGTAGGCCATTATTGTATTAAAAATGATTAAACTGTATGAGAAATGCACGAGGATGAAAACGTGTTTTTCATAAAAACAAATAATAGAAATAATTTCGACGGTTTAAATCGACGAAATATCCCACTGTGCGACGTCTGGACGCTTCCATTGAATTGCACGTACGGTAGGTATTCATGATACGCGCATCGCGATACGAGCATCACAAGCCTCGTGTCAAACGGGCGTAACGCATATATAGGTAGATACAAACAGTCGAATCAAACGCTGTAAAACAAATAGAGGCATTCTGTTCATGCATTCGTGCATTCTGTTCATCTGCATTTTTTTTGTTCATCATACGTCTACGAGTGGCTTATTTCAATAACAAAGTAATCACGCGACAATCACAGTCTTGCGGCTGTCACTTGGTTGGAAAGTGTTCTGTCTGAGTCAGGTCGTTTGCCAGCAGCGACGGTGAATGTGTCTCGATGACAGATGCCGTCGAAGGGCCGGAAAAGGGACGAAAGCCGCGGTGTAACTAATTCGACTTTATTACCCAGTCTGGCGGAGGCACGGCTCACTCGAGGCTTCCCGATTCTTGCGCCGATTATCTTCATCCGGCGGATTCACCGAGGTGTTTCGACTTAAACACAGACTCGAACGAGTTTCAGCTTAACTTGGTTGTTGTGAATAAGTAAGCGAAGTGTTGCGAAGTGCTGGCAGAAGTTTCGCTGAGCCCCCCCGGGCGCACGGCCCGGCTGGCTCGAATTAAATTGTTAAACGGATGAACTGCCACGACGAATACCTCCTCCGAATCAGCGACTTTCCGCCACCCTCGGGTGTGAATTTTTAATCACCGCCTCTCGGTATATTTAATAAAATAATATCGTCGGTGTGTCTGAGCCTGTATCTGTACTCCGATCAACACACGACAAAGATAATCCGTTCTTCCGGAGATAATGCTTTCTGATTCAGGAAGCGCGCAGGAATCCCGTGTAAAGATTTCATTGGAAAGATTAATTGCCGTGCCTCGTTTACGTGGCACATGTGGCTTGTTTCATGATCAAATTTCACTTGTGCGCTACTATCTCTGTGACATCACAGAGTTTCAAAAATTCAATTCAATTCAATAATTGAATTCTAGAATATAGGATTCACGTAATACGAAGAACTGGTATTCTTGTAATACGAAGAACTGGTAATCAGAAGGTTAGGCGATCATATCTCAAAAATGAAAACATGTGACGTTGCAGCGTTGTTCCTTGCAACCGCAGATTTTAATGCAAGAATTGCCGAAATAGTTATATAGAGTCGATGCTGAATGGTTTCATGAAATCTCAATGTAGTGGAAAATTTTTAATGAAATTTAAGATGAATTATTTTATACAGTTGTTCATCCAATAATTCGAGAATGACATTATGCTGTTACGAGCGAGGTGGTAAAATAAATTGATCAATCGTAATGACACAAATGTATCTATAAACAAACAGCAAGTCGATTCAATCTGGTACGCTTCATCAATATTTCGTTTAGTATACTCCTCGCATTAACATCAGGGGAAAAACATTATTTCCGATTAATACATACCCCGCAATAGATTTATTTATGATAGGAACGCGGTTTAATTTATTTTTCCAAATTTTGTTTTTGCATGCAGATAATAATTACGTAGGGCGCTAAAGAAGTTTCCCGAGAAGGTGAATAAAAATCCAGAAAATGGAATGTAACGTGCGCAAATACGTTGGCAAAGTTTGCATTAAAATGATAAATATAGCAGCCTGTAAATAATAACTACGTTTCGGAATCTATCCCAACGTCTCTCGAATATAAAGCATTTCAAACAGATTGCATCATCGATATGTAAAGTTGGTTCATTTAAATATCCGAATTAACGTTTAAATGCACCTTACCTGTGATTGCACTGCTGACAGGCGAAACATTCCAAGTGATAGACGTTGGTCCTTGCTCTCATCACCAGCTCGAAGGCCGGTATGGATTTGTTGCAGGCCGCGCAGAGCCCGGTGCTTCCGAATAGTCTGCGCAATCGAGAAAACGAGGAGACTTTTACTGATTTTATTATGGCAAGAACTCGAGGAGACTTTTGCTGATTTTATTACGCCAGGAACTCGCCATTCAACCTTCCCGAAACGATATTGCTTTCGTTCCTCTTGGCGCGGTGTGTTCCTCGGTTTGAACAGTCTGTGTTTTGGTTGTCCCTCGTATCGACGATATTAGCGAGAGGAGTTTTAGTTAACGTGCAGCGGGAAGCAAGAAGCTTACGGCCGCCACGAATATGCCATCTTCAAATATTAGGCCATTAATAAAGACCACGAAGCTTCTATAGCGGGCGTGGCGGTCTTTGCAGACGCGCCACCTGCGCGTGTTCCCTCGGGACTTTGTAATCTCAACACGGTTTATTTGCCCTCTCCTGTTTATATGGGACGTGGATGTATTCAATAAGGGAAACTCATCTGTAAAATTCGATTTGTTGCTTCCGTTCTCCTCGCCTGGACTGCTCGTACGTGAGCTGGCTCGTCCTCCTGCCCTTTATTGACTTCGCGAGACCGTAATGAAATGCTGTGTCAAGGTACTTCGAGGGAAACGGAAGTATAATATTGTACATGGATCGATGTCTCGATCGCATATTTGCTCGCGGACAAGGAATCTCAATGTTCTGTTCGTAGCAAACAGTTTAGTGCGCAAACTATACGATTAACTGAAATATTTGTTGAATTTACAGATCAGATAATACGTAAATCATAATATAATACAATATCAGATCATACGTAAATACGTATAACAATAAATAAGTTACATAACATTGGTAGAGACGTTCGTAAAATAGCAGTTTTTAAGGTCTTAGTTTATAAATAACGTTCACATGATTCCAGTGAAGAAAGCCCGAATTTTTTTAATCTCCATATTTTGATTAACATAATTATCCATTTAACCGAAAAAGTCAAAGTATATTAGTAGATTTTCATGCAAGACGAAAATTGTTTACGTCGACTGTAACGAACAGAAGTCATATAGAAATCTTCTTCTCCATTAATGTTTTAAATAAATTGAAACTGATATGTCGACGGTCCCAAACAGTTTAAATCTATCTACTGCTTTACATGGCATTTACTCATTTTTGTCATAATTGTCTAAAGTTCGCAGTCTAATAATCGGTCACATTTGCATTGAAGTAAGAGAATGATACACACAGTGACATCTTGTATTAATATTCCAACAAAATGATTTATCTTCAATGATTTATGAACAAAATTGTTGAACCATTTCAAAGCATTAAAAAAATGACGATTCTGGCAACTGGCGTCATAAATCGTGCTGACTTGTTTCGAAAATCAGACCTAGTACTTTTGACACAATGGGTTTAGATTTCATGATACTGAAGTGACAAATATCAGATTCGGGACAGTGATAAATTTTGTCACCTTTTAGTGTATGTCCACGAATGTTTTTGTATCCACATGCATTGCAAAATCGGTTTCCTTCCTTTGCGAATATCATAGTATGTGTCAATGTATTGTTTAGATCTATTATCTGAAGATGTATTACTATTTAAAATAAAAATTTATGATGAGATTTTGCGTTGCTTTCAGAAAACTCTATAATAGCATAGTTTGGGAAACTTTTCAGTTCGTTATAAAATGTTTAGGTCGACTGCAACATGAATATATATTGCATTATGAAAACAATTGAGGTATTTATAAAAATGCATTTAATGTATTTATGAGAAAAATAGTAAAGTGAATCATAAAAACATTAGAAGACTAAACGAATATAGGCAAAGTATTTTCAAATAATTGAAATTATCAAGAAAAGAAATGTATTCTTATGAAACTCTTTTTCGTTTGAGATGGTGGAGACAATTTTTATTTTGCATGAAGATCCGCGGACTATTTATTATGTAATTAACAAAAGTTACATCAGTCCTACCTAATATTATATTTCAATTCAATTTGAAAAGAACCAAATTTTTCAGGAAGTCGTTTGAGATAAACAGGACGGCCGGAATCATGGCAGTTACGAAGCTATACTATACATCTTTGAAAGGACGCTACATAAGTACACGTACGTAGGTCCTATTATAATCATTATGTTTGCATGAAAAGAATGTGGTACCTGTACTTTTGAAACATTGCCAAAAATATGTACAAAACAATACAATATATGTACGATCCACTCATTTAACCCTCGACCGGCCGACTCTGGGTTACACTTAATCTGAAATAATGTTACGCTCATTGTATACAGTTCCCAGCAGTATTCAGCATAGAGACGAACAGTGAAGTATTGTGTCAAATTCTCTCCCATTTTTTGGTAAAATTTCGCTTGAAATAATATACTATATTGCGATGTCGGAAAAAATTTTTTAAGCGAGGACGAAGATGCTGTCTTTAGACAATTAGAAGACCCTAGAAATAGTGATAATTCTTCAGATGATGATCACAGTTTTAAAAACGATATAGATTTGTAAAATTCACACCAACAATACTATTATGTGTATAAATTGTGAAAATGACGAATAAACAAATAATTTTCCTGTATTCTGCATTAATTTTATTGTCTTATCTATCCTTTAAATGTATAATAATACATAATTGTAACAGGAGAACTGTTTTTAAAGTATATACATTAGCATGGGTCCAAAAATACCCAGGGACGACGCCTGGCGGAAGGTCGTACGTTCGAGGGTTAATGAAAAGAATTCCCTAAGAAAATAAAGAAAGTAACCTTCTAAACCAGAAGAGCCACGTAGAAGCTGCCCATACAGACATTTCCCCACGACTGTATATATTCGCGGTCAAAATGGACTCGAGGCGACCCGTAAGGACAATATCTCAAAAGTGAAAACATGTGACGTGACCGCAGAGATATAATGAAATATTGAAACTGCCGACAACTGTGAGCTACCTTTCGTCTATCTTAATGTGTACAAGAATGATGATACGCACCTTAGGTAGTCCCTCTTACATAATATAAGATTGGTCTTCGTGTACAAGGTGGATCCAACCTCGACAAGCTTGCACGCGCAGACGCTGCACTTGAGGCAATCTTCGTGCCAGAACATGTCCAGCGCGCTTAACAGGAACCTTGAGCAGAAGAGCATACGATTCTTGACCGGTGATCTTTTCTCCTTCGCCGGCAAGAGTCTGTAGTAATCGATCAGGCTATTTACCTTTCCGTGATTGCCTTCTGGCAGAAAGCGCATTCATGCTGCGCCGCCCCCTTTTTGCTTGGCTCGCTTTTGCTTACATCCATCGTCATTTTATTGAATCGTCCTATGGCTGTCCCGTTCTATCTGCGGTCAAACAAAATTTTGATTGATCATTACAATTCGACAGGTGTGCGCGCAAGCCCGATAATGCTGGCAATTAATGCGTCCGACGATTATTATATTGTATCGGCTAATTAATTTGTGCGTGGCGCCGTTTAGTGCGCACGGTAAATCACAGCCGGAGCGGGACCGAATGAATAATCGGATTCGCGTGCTTTTAACAAGTTTCACCGGCATCTGGCACTAGGACGTCCGCTTGTCTATGAGCAATTAGAGTTACAGGTTCTAGAATTTAACGGCGCGGTTAGAGCCATCTGTGTCCATCCAGAACGGGGGAGGTTTTCCTCGGCCTGGCCCCGACTCACCCACGCGCCTCTTTCTCGCGATGTGGTCAGAGTTTAGAATCGAATTAGTTTGACCCTCTCCTCTCTCTCTCTCTCTCTCTCTCTTTCCCGGTCTCTAGCACACATGCACACCACTTATTGCGCGTTTAAACGCCACCAGCTCCTCGGGTAACGGCTGCACGAGTTTCCCGATAAACATTAATTGTTCTCGGTCGAAGACGTATGTAGAGTCCACCCCCTGTGTTCCATTTAAACCGAATTTCAAGGGTTTAACGCTTATTTAATCGGTCCGCGTTTTCCGACCTTTTCGCTCGGCCTACCAGATTATTGGTACTGGTCCATTAGCTAGAATTTAGGGAATCCTTTGATTATGAAAGAGTGCTATAAATAAACTGCGAACTTTGTGGATTTATGATAAATTTGAGTAATTGGAAGTTAACTTCTTGCTTTACGATTTACAGTAAATTCTCCCAAATTGTCCCTCAGAGCTTGTACACAACAATGGACAATTTAGGAATAGGAGGTAGGACTATTTTTATAGCTATATCAGCTTATTTTTATAATTGTTGACAATCAGCGACTATAAAAGCGAGCCACAAGGTTCGAATAATTGTATTTCCTCTTCCTAAATTGACCATTTTTGTTTACAAGCTGAAGGACAATTGAAGAGAATTTATTATATTTTCAAAGAAATGTGCGTGCGCAGACAATTTAATTCAGCGCACCTGTATGCGAGGAGTTATCGCAAAATAAAACCAAAATATTTCTGTTTTTATTTAACATATTTATATAAATGAACACTATCTTATTTGTAAGAATAGAACAGGTTAATAGAGTAGATGGAAATATTAAATATTAAATTGAAATTGAGAAATATCCTTTTTAAGTTACAATGAAGTTAAGAAACAAATCAAGTTTACTTGAATAAAGTTTATAAACTATTTAAGTTCCTTTGTAATATTGTTTATTTTTTAGTAATTCATTATAGCTATAATGACACAATCTTAGATAGAAAAGAAGGCAAGAGAATGTATAGATATCATGATAATTGTGTTTCTAACAGTTAGAGGAGATTTATATGGTTTTGAAACGTTTAAATATTCGGCGGACGTCACCTGTCAAATTCGAGTTTGGGACAGTTTGTGGACGCGACTCGTCATTTCCACTAATGAGATTAGAATAGTAGACAGATTTAGAGAATTTAGAAATGTCAATGTATTATTTTTAATTTATTAAAATAATTACAGAAAAAAGAGAACTTTTGATATTCAATTTTTATTTCTTGCAATTAATGCACGCAATTCTTACTTTGAAAAATATTCTTACAAAGAATGCAGGAAGGGTACACTAATTTTCAGCCACTTAGCTATGCACTACGATTATACTCGCCGTGAGGAAATGGAATTTTAGAAAATCACTATTTGACAGAAATTTGAGCAGTATAACATTTAATGTTGATAATAATCAAATAATAATTTGACAATTAAAACGACAAATGGTATAAACATGATACATTGATTAACAAATACAGACGTACGAATGACAGCTTATAAACAACGACACGATTTAAATTAAATTTTTCGTTAAAATGAATTTGGCACGAAGAAGAAATAGTTAAGAAATTAGAAGCCTTACTTGAAAATTTGACACAATACGGGACTATATAGACAATATAGGANCATGCACACCACTTATTGCGCGTTTAAACGCCACCAGCTCCTCGGGTAACGGCTGCACGAGTTTCCCGATAAACATTAATTGTTCTCGGTCGAAGACGTATGTAGAGTCCACCCCCTGTGTTCCATTTAAACCGAATTTCAAGGGTTTAACGCTTATTTAATCGGTCCGCGTTTTCCGACCTTTTCGCTCGGCCTACCAGATTATTGGTACTGGTCCATTAGCTAGAATTTAGGGAATCCTTTGATTATGAAAGAGTGCTATAAATAAACTGCGAACTTTGTGGATTTATGATAAATTTGAGTAATTGGAAGTTAACTTCTTGCTTTACGATTTACAGTAAATTCTCCCAAATTGTCCCTCAGAGCTTGTACACAACAATGGACAATTTAGGAATAGGAGGTAGGACTATTTTTATAGCTATATCAGCTTATTTTTATAATTGTTGACAATCAGCGACTATAAAAGCGAGCCACAAGGTTCGAATAATTGTATTTCCTCTTCCTAAATTGACCATTTTTGTTTACAAGCTGAAGGACAATTGAAGAGAATTTATTATATTTTCAAAGAAATGTGCGTGCGCAGACAATTTAATTCAGCGCACCTGTATGCGAGGAGTTATCGCAAAATAAAACCAAAATATTTCTGTTTTTATTTAACATATTTATATAAATGAACACTATCTTATTTGTAAGAATAGAACAGGTTAATAGAGTAGATGGAAATATTAAATATTAAATTGAAATTGAGAAATATCCTTTTTAAGTTACAATGAAGTTAAGAAACAAATCAAGTTTACTTGAATAAAGTTTATAAACTATTTAAGTTCCTTTGTAATATTGTTTATTTTTTAGTAATTCATTATAGCTATAATGACACAATCTTAGATAGAAAAGAAGGCAAGAGAATGTATAGATATCATGATAATTGTGTTTCTAACAGTTAGAGGAGATTTATATGGTTTTGAAACGTTTAAATATTCGGCGGACGTCACCTGTCAAATTCGAGTTTGGGACAGTTTGTGGACGCGACTCGTCATTTCCACTAATGAGATTAGAATAGTAGACAGATTTAGAGAATTTAGAAATGTCAATGTATTATTTTTAATTTATTAAAATAATTACAGAAAAAAGAGAACTTTTGATATTCAATTTTTATTTCTTGCAATTAATGCACGCAATTCTTACTTTGAAAAATATTCTTACAAAGAATGCAGGAAGGGTACACTAATTTTCAGCCACTTAGCTATGCACTACGATTATACTCGCCGTGAGGAAATGGAATTTTAGAAAATCACTATTTGACAGAAATTTGAGCAGTATAACATTTAATGTTGATAATAATCAAATAATAATTTGACAATTAAAACGACAAATGGTATAAACATGATACATTGATTAACAAATACAGACGTACGAATGACAGCTTATAAACAACGACACGATTTAAATTAAATTTTTCGTTAAAATGAATTTGGCACGAAGAAGAAATAGTTAAGAAATTAGAAGCCTTACTTGAAAATTTGACACAATACGGGACTATATAGACAATATAGGAAATTAAAAATGTATGATCAGATTAAAATGGTATAACCGTGTACTCGATATTTTAAGGTCGGAAAATCAATTAAGCCATAAAGTAATCATGTTGCGATAGTCGGCTCAATGGACTTTGATTTATTGCCCGGATTTTACGATCTCAAAATACCGCGCGATTATGCTTAACAATTCACTTGGAAAGTAGACATAGTATGGAGTTGCAGAGTCAATGTAAAAAATTAAAAATGTGTGGTTAGTAATTAAAGTGATACTGCAATCATGCAACCAATTAAAAAAAGAAAGAATACTTTTCAAAGTGGACCAATCACTTACAGTGTTATTGCATGTTTTAATATTGGTTTTCATAAACTAAATATTATTGGAGATTGAAACAAGTTACGGCTATATAATTTGTATGGAAGTGTAGTACAATGAAAATACTAGTTCTTCTGCAAATAAGTACTTGTTTCATATTGAATTTGAATTTATAAGTTCTTCTTTGGGCAACATTGGTTCTTAGTAAGATTTTAAGATGTGCAATGACTATTGGATTATCAAAAATTTCTTGGACTCGATAGATCGGTTATCTTTAACTTAATTCCGACTTAATTCCGCTAGATCGATTCGAGCCACCCGGTATATTTACGAGCACCCGAGGATGCTATGAGCAAAGTTTGTGCGGTTTCAATATGTCCTCTCCCCTTAGCCTGGACACAATATTACGGGGACGTTAATATCTTCTATGCGGTGGAGACTCCGAAGCAAATATTAATACCGAGCCTTTGATATGTTAATTACTAAAGACCGAAGTATCAGAAACTCGTGTCATCGAACACGGTTTTCCCTTCGGTAGAGCAATGTGGTCAATCTCCATTTTTTTAGGAGCAAAGAGACCAATATCGCGCGAAATCTAATAAATTAGCCAAATCTAACAACGATTAAATTACATTAAATTAATCAAGTTAAAAATACTAATTATTTTTTCTAACGATTTTTCTGATTTTATTGTGTTACATAATATAGTTTTGCTTTATCCTTAGAGGTTGTTTCGTATAATTGTAAATAAAGTATTGCACGGCTGGATTCACACACATTTCTGGTTTGATTAAATTTAAAACTTACAAGAAGTTGTAATTAATTTCATGTTCTGCGGTTGTGATATCAAGTATTGAATACTATTTGGTATGAAACATATATATTCTCACTATTTTAAATAGGATAGATGTCCCAGTTTCAGTGTCTATTACCAATTTCCGTGCCCCCACATTAAAAACGCATAGAAAAAGAAAAGTTTTATATAGAAATTGATAATCAATATTTTTTTATTATGTTCATTTATCAACATGTAAGATTCAGGGGAAGGGATCAATCTATATATAAAATTTTTCTTTTTCTATATGTTTTTAATGCGGGGGCACGGAAATTGATAATAGGCACGGAAACTGGGACATCTACCCTTCTGTGG